TACATGGTGTAACCCTAGATGTGTCAACACTATATAAAGTTCATGTTTCTCCCAAAATCGGTGATGCATGCATACTTGAGGGCTAGAGCCGATTTTTAGAGTGTTATACTTTCTCTCCAAGTTTACTCCATAGCATTTGGTGTTGTGTGAAGCATTTGAGGCATCACACTTGGGGTGCTAGGCTCACAAGGTTTCAAGGAACAAAATCAACAACAAGGTATGTAGTTCTATCTTTTATTCAAGTTAAAATTGTTCCCCATGTATGCTAAATAGGATCATAACCTTGGAAATCAACTTTGCATGATAATTAGACAAACATAGATCCAAGGTTATTAGGGTTGCATGTACACTTAGGAAGTGTTAGAATGCTCAAAACCCATCAGTGTATTCTGATGTTTTATGTGGTATATATTCAGTATGGTAGTATTCCAAGGCAGACCAGTAGGCAGTTCCTGTTATGAGGAGGGTTCAAGCTCAGGGTCTGGAGTTGGGCAGCTTGATGACCAGACAAGGGAGTTCATTTCGTCTGAGATTACGTGCAATATCCTTGAGCAGACTCCAGTGATCTTTGGCATGGTCAAGGAGGGCATTCTGGATATTCTTGATGAGAGGTTGATCACCTTTTCGCGCTGAAATTGTGGCTTTGGTTGGGACGTGTTCTCTGACTTTTAGAGAATTCCAGGCATGTGGAGCGTTAGATTATCATGGGGTGAGGGATCCCATTGTGAGCAGTAGGTGGTTAACAGATGTTGTTAACGCTATCCGTACCATCCGTTGTCCCTGTGGGGGGGGGGGGGCAAGGTCAGACTATCTTCCTGAGGGCACGTGATTTTTGGTTGGAGGTAGGGCATGCTATAGGAGATGATGTTGTTATTGATTCGATGACCTGGGGTAATTTCTCGACCATGTTCTGAGCCAAGTTTGCACCGGTAATTGAGGTGCAGTAGTTGGCGTGAGAGTTCTTGTATCTCTACAGACTACTGAGACGGTGGCTGAGATAACCGCTATGTTCAGGGATAGGGCACTTCTTGTTCCGCAGTATGTGGCGATCGAGTAGATGAAGAATGCCCGATATCATGAGATACCGATGAGTGATATTTGGCAGTTTGTTAGTCGATCCAGCTGCAAGACGTTGGAAGAAATAATAACGAGGGCTAGAGAGAGGGAGATTGATCTTGAGATGGAGAATGTGACATCCCCAAAATCACGGCCAGAAAAGACCGGTTTTGTTTATACTTTATTTCAAAATCAGAGTTATCTTTTAATAAAAGGATTGCGGAATTTGTCCCAAAACAATAATATGATAAAGATTTATCAAAAGCATTTCCATAGAAATGTATTTCATTAAAAGACTCAGGATGTCATGTTCGTACAGATCAAAAGTATAAACAGTACAATATAAGCCTTACTACATTATTTCATATCTACAGGCCTATATCCGTAATCCCTCGTCCAAAACATCACACCTATGCTCATGCGCCACTACCTGTAATACATAAAACTGAGGGGGTCAGGCTTGGGAGCCTGGTGAGCTCATAGGGTTTCCAACCCACAATAAATAAGTTTATTAATTTCATCAATCAACAATAACCCGATTACCCGTTCCCGTTATCCTCACTTTACGTCCCTAAACACCTATCATAAGGGACCTAGCCTAAGGATCATCATCAGGACGGACACTACTGCTAAGGGGATTCCTCAGCAATAAATGTCCTAATAGGCAACCATGTGGGGGATGAGTACACCGGTGAACACATCGTTCACAGCACCTACAGGTTGCGAGCCTGCTAGTGTTCCACTGGACTGTCTAGAAGAGTCCGTGGTCGTCATCTATACTCCGCTAGATGATTGGATCAACAACAACAACATCGAGGCCTCTCATCATTTTATCACACATCACCTATTACATCTACCCATGTTTTACCCCAACATTTTCGTAGATATAAAATACATATACAGTTTAAATCATTGAAAACATGTATAACAACGTTCATCTAGCATAGATAGCAAGTATTCAGATAATATGCACACATAGCACGTAATTTATATAAAATACTTCATATCTATGTGTAAGTTGAAGGTAACTATGCACTCACCTGATTAGGTGGTGACTCAGCACTCGGACAACGCTTCGATACTCTCAAAATGATATTCCTTCGATAAAACCTAGTATCGATACCACTAGGGTTTAGTCTAATGATAACCGTGACAAATTAATTGTCTGAGTATTATTAAGCATTAATAATACTCGATATATCTCATAATAATAGCCCAAATAATTATTTTAAGGACCTAATAACATTCCTATAATTATTTGAAAGCTATATTAAAAATTGCATAAGCGTAGCATACTTACAGCGAATTTTATCGAAAACCGAGACTTAATTGGAGCAGCGTTTCGAAACCGAAAAACTCCTTTTTCTCGGGACTCCGGGAGCCTCGGGGCTTCCTTAGGGTGCTAGGGGTTTAACTAGGGCTTAAGGGTGGTTTGGAACCTTAGAGAGAGAAAGAAACTAGAGAGAGAATGAGAAATGGTGTGAAAAATGAGGGCACCTTCGGCCCCCTTTTATAGGCGCGAGGGCCTCGGATACGCGGCGTGTCCAGCAGCGCTACGCGGGGCGTAGCTCGGAGGTGGCTGCCAGCTCGCAACAGCTGGCTCGCACTCGGACTCGGACAGATAAGGCCAAAGGTACGCGGGGCGTACCGGACCTCGTACGCGGGGCGTAATGCGAGTCGTCGTGGCGCGATCCAGAGCGAAGCCTTGGTCAGCAAGCAACGGCTCAGAAGCGGCCACGTCATCATCTTCGCAACAGGTTTCGCATTTTCGAGTCCTAACTTCAAAAATTCGTAACTTTCGCATACGAGCTCCGTTTTTGATGTTTTTTTATATCCACGCGAAGGTGGGAATATACTCTACAACTTTCGTTTAGACTTCGTTGGCTAATTTTGACTCGATTTTAAATTTTATTTTATCAACGGGTCGGGATAGGATTGGTCTGTTAAATCCTCATAACTTCTTCATCCGACATCCGTTTTCGCCCATCTTTTTCTCGTTACGTTACTCTTAACGAGATCTTCGATTCTCATTTAGGTCGTGTCAGCTAAAAACCGCTCGATCAAACATTTGAATTTCGGGCAGTACACTGCTAGTCCGAAACTTCGAAAAATCGTAACTTCTTCATACGGAGTCAGATTTGGGCGTTCTTTTTATCGATGTTCTTAGTTTAACATATTCTACGACTTTTGTTTATATTTCTAAGGCTAAAAAGTCTTCTATCGTAAATTCACTATTTTATGTCTTCCGGTGCCGTGTCGGTTTTGCCGTAAAACTTCGGCGGGTCATAACTTCTTCGTTATAGCTCGGATTTCGGCGTTCTTTATATGTACGGAAACCTTGAGACATATTCTACAACTTTATGTAGAGATATCAGGATTATCTCACACTTTAATTTTGATGCTCATTTTTATTCTTTATTAATTATACATTTATAATTAAACAATAAACACACAATCACACATAATTCACATAATACTCAAATATTTCATATTTATTACTTCAAAAAGAGTTACAATAGTTGACCTAGACTATTACATTGACAAAAATGCTTAGCCCTGAAAACCTGGGTGTACAGAGAAGAAGAGGAAGACAAATTATGTGTCCAGTGTTGAGGGTTCGGGCAAAAGACCCAAGGTGGTAGCAGAGCCGAGATCGCTACGACAAGTGTGACAAGTCGTATGAGGGGACGTGCAAGGTGGGTGGTTCTGGCTGCTTCAAGTCCGTCTGGACTGGTCATGTCAGCATGGATTATACTGCTACCACCACCACCACCATGATATCTAATATGATTTGCTTTCAGTGCAATCAGACGGGCCACAAGAAGACCCAATGTCCGAGTTTGGCTACAACAGGACCAGTGTCAGCACCCGATCCTGCGACATTGAGCATTATTGATGGCCGTCGGGGCCGGGCAGATGTGCATGCGGCGAAGAGCAGGGCTTTCTAGCTGACGGCAGAGGAGGTGCATGTAGCTCCCGGTATGGTGACAACTATGTATATTCTCCTTATCTCTTTATGTTTTAATGGTATTGTTGCTTGTGTTTATGTGTTTCATTTTAGGATTGTTCCTAGTGAACGATATCTCTTCTTTAGTATTATTTGACTTGGGGGCTACTCGATCATTTGTATCTCTTGCACTTAACAAAAGATTTGCTGGAGCTCCAAGGGAGCTGGAATGTCCTCTAGATGTTGAGATTGCGAGGGTTCATAGAGTTTGTACTCTTTATTTATTCGTCGAACAGTATCCGGTAAATCTGGTTCCCATTCTTTTTCGTGGGAACAAGGTTATCGTGGGTATGAATTGGTTGAGCCCTAATGAAGCAACGATCGACTGTGAGCAACAGTTGGTTCGGATTAGGAACCCAGGGGGGTGGGGGAAGGGGGGGGGGGAGTTGGTGATTTAGGGTGAGAATAATGTTTCATCGTCTTTCAGACCCATTTTTATTTTAACAAAATATACTATTTATAATTTCAATATAAATAAACTATTTATACATCTCAATAATTTACATTTTCATTAATCTACATCAAAAAATCAACTCAACCATATATTTGCTTAAAAAATATCCGTCTTTAGATTGAGTTATATTATTCTTCAAAAAAACATATAGAATTTATTTTATTTAAAAAAGGGATAATGACTTCAGAGGGTAACATACTTTTGATTTTGATCACATTTGGTCACTGAACTTTTTTTCGTGCTCTATTAACCCTTTAACTTGTTGATTTGTGCAAATTTTCCCCTTCCGACCGGGTTTAGCCGGTTTCAAACGGTTTATTGATCCTACGTGTATTTTTTATCTTACGTGGCGAAAGAGGTGGCATGTAGGGCCCGATTTTTCGTCTCCGTCTCATTAAACCACACCCCGAAGTCTCATTTGGTCCTTAAACTCGACTAGGTCACGAAATTCTCCATCGATCATTCATCTCCTTCAACCGTTCTATGGCATCATCTCCAAATCCTACTGATCAGAACTTCATTGTAGTGGATTTCCACTACAATGGTCAGTTTGCACCCAATCCCTTAGTTTACTTTGATCCCAACAGAGCATCAGTGCGAGATGTTGACTTCAGTGGGTTTGGGTATGAGCAATTCATGGAATTCCTTCACAAGCTCACCAACTCGAGAAGCAAAGACATCTATTTCTGCCTTCCACAAGAGTCTTTAGGTCTTGGAATTCATACACTGGTGAACAACGGTGATTACAAGGAATTTTTGGATTTGGCGTATGCTAATGACAAGAGAATGAATGTATATGTGGATCACCATAATGAACCTATCTTCGACTGGATTGAGGCTGAGGAAAGTGAAAGTGAAAACGAAGACTTAGATGAAGATGAGGATTCAGTTATTCAAGATTCATATTCTGTTGATCATGAAGAAGATGATGCTACCTATCCATTTCCAGCAAACAAAACTGCACGTGATAGATTTTTAAACATCCTTTGTGAACCTATAGAGAGTGAAGATCAAGATGATGAATACGTGCCACCCCAGTACCCTGTGTATGATGAGAGACAGCCATGGGATCAGATGAAACCAATTATAGGTATGCGATTTTCTAACCCTACTGAGCTTAAACATATGTTAAGCAATTATGCAGTTGCTAATGGGTATGATCTATGGTTTGAAAAAAATGACTCTGATAGATTGTTAGTGAAATGTTGCAAAAAGAATAAGTCACCATCTTGCCCTTTCAGACTATGGGCCTCCTGGATGGGTAAAGAAAAGACTTTTCAGATCAAATCTCTAGTGAATGAACATAATTGTTGTAGGGTGTTTAAGTTTGGGTCAATTGTAACTTATAGATGGATAGGGAAACATTTTATGAGTCAAATTATAGAGAACCCAAAATGAGTGCAAGGAAGATGAAAGCTAAAGTGTCAACAACATTCAACATAAATGTGAGTGTGGGGCAATGCAGAAATGCAAAGAAATTTGCATTACAAGAGATTGAAGGAAGTTTAATTGAACATTATGGGAGATTGTGGTCATATGGTGAGGAAATTATCAGGTCAAATCCTGGGTCTACTGTGAGATTGGATGTAGACATCATGCCAGATTCCACAACTTTGTTTTCTAAGTTTTATGTGTGTTTCAAAGCTGTAAGGGATGGTTGGTTAGAAGGGTGCAGGCCAGTAATTGGGCTTGATGGTTGCTTTTTAAAGGGTATAGTTAGAGGAGAAGTTATTTCAGCTGTTGGGAGAGATGCAAACAACCACATCTACCCTTTAGCATGGGCTGTGGTATGTGTTGAGAATAAAGAAACATGGAAGTGGTTCATAGATTTGCTTATGGATGACATTAATGGTGGTCTTGGTGCAGGCATTACCCTTCTTTCTGATGGACACAAGGTTAGTACTAGGTCATTTTTATGCTTCATTTTTATGCTTTTTCACTCATAATGATGTTGTGATTTGTAGGGGTTATTACAAGCAGTTAAGGAAAGATGTCCAGAAGCTGAACATAGACAATGTGCTAGACACATTCTGGCCAATTTTAATAAAAGGTTTACTGGTCAACAATACATAAAGTTATTTTGGAGGGCTGTAAGGGCTAGTACTGTGGAGAAGTTCAGAGGTGTAATGGAGAACATCAAATCTATTGATACTCATGCTTATGATTACCTTATAGACAGAGATCCTACTACCTGGTCTAAGGCATTTTTCAAGAAGGAAGAGACTGTGATGCAGTGGAGAATGGGGTCAGTGAGAGTTTCAATTCTGCTATTAGGCATGCTAGAAGGAGACCTATAATCACTATGCTGGAGGAGATTAGGTTATTTGTGATGGAAAGGATATACACTCAAAGAGTTGAAGGAATGGAATGGGATTTGCTTATATGTCCAACTATTAGGAAGCGTATAGAACATCTGAAGGTTAAACAGAGGTAATTATTTTACTTTAATATGCTTATGTTAATTATGAGGATGTGTTATTGATTCACTGATGTTAATATGCTTAAACAGATTGTGGGGAGTTACTCCTTGTGGTTATCAAAAGTATGAGGTTAGATTCACTGATGTTGCATATGGAGTGGATCTAATTGCAAAGAAGTGTGCCTGTAGAATATGGCAACTTACAGGGATACCATGCTTACATGGAGTGGCAGCAATATCTTACTTAAATCATGATGCTGAGGCATATGTGTCCCAATCATACACTACTGAGGCTTACCTAAAATGCTACAAATATAGCATTAATCCTCTCAATAGTAGTGAAATGTGGCCAGATGTTCCATACCATAAGCCTTTGCCTCCCAAAAGAAGAAGATTACCTGGTAGGCCATCTGTGAAAAGGAAGAGGGATGCAATTGAACGAGAGTTGAGTGGATCAAGTAGACAAACTGTCTCAAGAAGGGGTAGCATAATAAAGTGTGGTATTTGTAAGGAACCAGGTCACAACAAGAAAAAGTGTCCATCTAACCAACAAAGCAATACATCAGGTGAATATTTTTAAAAAATTACATCATTTGAACAAAAATTGACATTTTAATTTTTGTTTGCAGTACCAAGTTCATCCAGGGGCAGTGGAGCAGACCCAAGTTTATCCAGGGGCAATGAAGGACCACCACCTCCTCCACCACCACCTGCAGCCCAACAACCTCCTCCACCACCACCTGCAGCCCAACAATCTCCTCCACCACCACCTGCAGCCCAACAACCTCCTCCACCACCACCTGCCCCCATGCCAAGAAGAAGGGTCCCAGTTAGTAGAAGTGGAAGGAGGAAATATTCTGAACGGATTATCAAACAAGCATTAAGGAGGCAGATACCTGGGGTTGGGAGCAATGCAGATAACCCTTCAGTTATTGATTAATTTAGGGGATAATAGTGGGTGGGTAGGAATATCTTTTGTAAGGCAGTTGTGATGTAAAGACAAAGTAGTAGTCTTTTTATTATGCTTTTCTATGGTACTATCAAGTAGGTGTATGGGCACATGGTGGCCCTTCTTTTGTCTATGCAGGAATCTTTTGTGTTACCTAGAAACTACTTTTGTGTATGCAGACAAAAACTTATATAACTGTAGAATATTAATGGCGTATTACAATGAATCCAACCACCACATTCACTTACTTTTTTTATTATATGTATTTGTTATATGTATGCTACTTTTGATTCCATTCCAGTCAAAACTAATTCTTTATATGCATGCTACTTTGTGATTCCATTCCAGTCAAAACTAATTCTTTATATGCATGCTACTTTGTGATTCATTCCAGTCAAAACAAATATGTATTCATTTTATATGTATGCTTCTTTATGATTCATTCCAGTCAAATATCTTGTATTCATTGTATATATGCTTCTTATGATTCCATTCCATCAAAATATATTTTATGTATTCTTCATTAAATTCCATTCAATACTTCATTCATTCTTTGTGATTCCATTCCAATCAAAGTTAATATGTATGCAGTTAATATGTATGCTTCTTTATAATTAAATTTTCCATTACAATCAATGTTACTTCATTCCATTCCAACAAGAAGTTAAGATAACAACTCTATTCTATTCAAACAACATCTTTCAATACATCATGTGACTTCATTTCATCATATACACGATGATCAGAAAAAGAAATCCAATGGTAAACTTATATATTTTCTCCTTCATTGCAATGGCATCAGAGTACTTTTCCTTCTTCATTGTTCCATGTCTTCCTTCACCTTCTCTACTTCGGTCTTCAATGCTACTAATTCAGCTTTCATTCCCTCCACCACTTCCATCAGAGGCATCTGTACAAGTTCTACATCCAACCATTTCCAATATTTGCATTTACCCTTCCACAATAAAATTTCAAAGTGAGATTTCAAATCTGGAATAAATGAATCAGAAAAGAGGGAAAATTTAAGTGAAATTGCTTACCTCATTGCACACCATGAAATGCCTCCCTGGATTCTTTGGTGTTGTTGATGTTAGAATACGTGCAGGGAACCCACAATCACAAGTTTTTGGATCATTCACTGTGGATTTCTTGCTTGATCGATTGAGGGAGGATGAGATGCTGTAGGAGGAAGCCATCGGGTATTAGGGCAACGGGGTATTAGAGCACAATAAATGAACAACAAACGCCCCTCCTTTAATAACAAGAACCCTAGATGCCACTTAGGATCAAAACTGACACGTAGGATCAATAAATTCATTGAAACCGGCAAAAACCAGTCGGAAGGGGAAAATTTGCACCAATCAACAAGTTAAAGGGTTAATAGATCATGAAAAAAAGTTCAGTGATCAAATGTGATCAAAATCAAAAGTATGTTACCCTCTGAAGTCATTATCCCTTTAAAATATTAGCTGTTAAAAAAACGCATATATAAAAGAAAAAAAACTTTTTTTATTTTTATTTTTATTTTATTTCCTAATAAAAGATTTGACTTTGTTTGAAGTGTTATAAACATAGTCATATACATCAACTACTTCCATGGTGTTCGGAAGCGATTCATGGTTTTCATCGAATCTTTATCAATCTGTTCCACGCTTTTGGGCTGCTCAAGTCGCAAAATTGTACTCCAAGGAACCAGAAAATCGTTCTTGTTGCAATTAGATCCCATCAAAAGCAGAGAGTTTTTGGAGGAAATTGGGGTTCCGGAGCAAAAGTTGTTCTCCAATTGAAAAGGGGAAGACTCAAAACCCCTTCAGAATGGGGGTTTCATCTTTCGTCGGAATCGCCATTACCATCGCTCTGATATCTCTCCTCTTCGCTTTTTATCCACTCACCAATAGTCCTCCTGCATCGCCATCACCCCCAGTATGTATATTATCCCCTTTTTATTCTCTTTTCTCGTTCAGATTCCGCTTCCCACTTTCCAGATGCTGTGTATATCAAGATACCCTTGCGTATTTCTTGAGAAATTTGAAATAACTTCTAGTGTCACTCGTATGTTTTTCTGACAAAATTCTAAGTTAAGATTATCTATTTCACCATTGTTATTTATCGATTCAGATTATTGGTGGTATTGAGATTTTATTCATAAGAAGGGAAATCTCCAGAAAAATCCCAAAATTTTAATCCAATTTATGAAAAAGTCCCAAAATAAATTTTATTTACAGAAAAGCATAGAATACCGGTTAAAACTTCGAAAAAACCCTTTTCGGCCGGTTTCGCAGATTTTGCCGGTATTCTGTCATTTTTCGTTAGTTTGCTCAAAATATTGGGACTTTTCCAAAAATTACATAATAACCAAAATATTGGGATTTTTTTGAAAATTACCATGAAATTAATGGATATTATTATTAACAAATCTTTTTATAAATTACATAATAACCAAAATATTGGTGGCCTAAGTACTCCTCTATTGTTTCCTGACCACTCAAACTCTCTACGTTCTTCCTATGCATTGTTGTGGGTATGATGGTGAGATGAAGTTAGTTAGCATTCCTCTAATGTTGGTGTTCTTCTTATGTTGTTTAACCTAACTACCAACCAACATTCATACCTTACATGTTAACAATCATCGGCTAACACACATCTATAAAATGTGAAAAGTGAACCCTGAATGATAATTTATATGGAAACAAGTGAAGGGTGATTATCTATTTAAATTGTCATTCAAAGTTTACTTTTCATTCTCGATAGATGTGTGTAATTTTATGGTTGTTACCGGGTAATGTTTGGAGGTTAGGTGGTAGTTAGGTTAAAGAACATAATGAAAGATCTATATGTTCGTGTAATGATATTTTCTAATAACACGTGATCATATAGCATCATGCTTGATAGCAAGTAGACACTTATTGATTGTGTATTAATAAATATTATCAACTCTTGTATTGGTCACGCCTAATAGAGTACTTCTCACTATGACACCTACAACGATACATATGAAGAACATAGAGACTTTGAAGTGGTTAACAAACAATTGAGAAGTACATAGTCGACCATTCTATTTCTAGAAATTAACAACAAATGTATTTCCTTTGTTTATAATAAAAAAAATATTTTTTATGTTTATAAATGATTTGTTAATAATAATATCCATTAATTTCATAGTAATTTTCAAAAAAGTCCCAATATTTTTGGTTATCGGGTAATTTTCAGAAAAATCCTAATATTTTGAGCAAACTAACGAAAAAGGACAGAATACCGGCTAAATCTACGAAACCGGCCAAAAAGGGTTTTTTCGAAGTTTTAGCCGGTATTCTGTGCTTTTCTGTAAACAAAAATTAGTTTGGGACTTTTTCATAAATTGGACTAAAATTTTAGGACTTTTCTGGAGATTTCCCTCATAAGAATAATAGAATATGATACATTGTGGTTATAAAACGTCCCCATGGTTTCCCTTATTTTTTTTTTGCTGTGTATTCAGTTTTCTTGAGCAACATTAAACTGGATCAGAATTTTTATGAACTTTTTTGGTGATGAAGTAGTTGCATAATCTTTATCAATTACCATGGTATTGATTATTTATTTATTTATTTATTATTATTATTTTTTTAATGCAGAGATTGTTTACAGTAGAAGATCTTGCTATATACAATGGAACTGATAATGGCTTACCCATCTTTCTTGGAATTCTTGGGTACTTTCTTTTTCACTCTTTCTTTCTGTTTGACCGATGATTTGTTTTAAGTTAATGATGTTAGACACCTTCATCTGAAAGAAAAATTAAGTTTATATGGTGAAAACTATATGACTGATTTGAATTGTTTAAATGTAAGCTAAAACATTGATAATTGCATGCAACTAGTGCTAAATTTGTCTTATATCATTTTATATTGTGAAAGCACGGGTTTTAATTTGTTATTTTTCATTTTTTTCTTTTATGTGTTGATTATCAGGTCGGTGTTTGATGTAACAAAAGGAAAATCTCATTATGGGAAAGGAGGTGGCTACAGTCACTTTGCTGGAAGGTTTTGTCTTTTTCCCTCTATAAATTTCAAATGAATGTATAAAAATGCTCTTTCAAATTTCTTAACTTTTTTTTTTTAAAATGTTTCATAGTTCATGAATCAACACTATAGTCCAATAAGATTTTTTTTTGAAAGTACACTGGTATCATTATGTAGATACTAATGGTCGTTCCTTATATCTTTTTGATTCCAGAGATGCTTCTAGGGCATTTGTTTCCGGAAACTTCACAGGTCCATTTGTCAATCCTTATCAAACACTTTTTTTTATAAATAAATTCATTTACAATTCATGCACTTTTAGAAGACAAAAATATAAATAAATTCAAATCAAGAAATTATCATGGTCAACTAACATATATTGACTTTGATTTTTGTCATTTAATATATATAGGTGACGGGCTAACTGACACTTTAGTTGGTCTATCTAGCACTGAGGTAATTAATGTTTGCTTCTTTAAAAAATACCTAGATTTTTGTCATTATAACTCTTTATTAATTCTCACCCTAAAATAATATTCATATTTGGATGCTAGTATAAAGTTTAACATTCTATCTTCATTATATAGGTGAAGAGTGTAGTTGAATGGAGAGACTTTTACTCCAGGACATACATGTAAGTTTATGTTAGTTTCTGTATAAAATAATTTTGTAGTTTTTTTTTGTAGGTTAATTGAATAACTTTGATTGGTTGTATCAGATTTGTAGGGAAGTTAGTGGGTCGCTATTATGATAGTGAAGGGAACCCCACAAAATATCTAAAAGGAGTGGAAGCAAAGGCAGCAAGAGGCGCACAACTAATGGAGAAGCAAAAGAAGGAAGAAGAAAAAGTTCCTGGCTGCAATTCCAAATGGAGCCAGGATGAGGGTTCTGAGGTACGTCTGTCTGTGTCTGTGTCTGTCTGAATAAAGTGTTGTCAGTCTGGATAAATGATATTTGAAAAAAAGGAAAAGAAAAGGATGATGATTATGT